GACGCAGCCGCAGAGTATCCCAACCAAGGAGCAGAAGGTCCATTTCAAGAACACGTACTGCAGTACGTGAGCCCGCCCTCGATTCCTCCAGTCTTGCTTAAACAAATCGTTCTCTATAATCCTGAGATACAAAAAAAAAATTACAAAATATTAAATTAAATTGCGAAAAGCCCCACTTGATGTGTACATATTGTTTTCAAGAAAGTAAAAAGATGTAATCTTTTACTCGTAATCGAGGCTCTCGACGGGGCAGAGGCTGGATCCGACGATGGCGCCTGGGAGGTTGCGTTGGGAGCGAGCCGGCGGGGGGCTCGCCTGTTTCTCTCTCCTCTTCGCCTTCGGTCGCCATTGTTAGCAATCTGTTTGGTGCGGGGCCCACGCAAATAGCGGGATCTTAGCGGGAAATTTTTGAGGCTGTCCGAATCAATGTTGTCCTCTTGTTCCTCTCATCTTGATTTGAATGTTACACGGTTATATGTGCATAAAAAAGTTTATGGACAAATTTTCAAAGTCAACGTATTTAGAAACTTAATTATAAAAAAAACGATCATTTTGCAACTTAATTATCAAAATCGACCCAATTTCGACCAGTTGGTTAAATCTGGGTCGATTTTGATAAAAATTGCTAAAAAACTTCACGGAACTTAACAACGTGCTTAAGCTTCACGTGACTTCAAGTCCCGTGAAGTTTTCATATATTATTGCGCCAAAATCGATCCAGTTTAAGCCAACTGGCTAAAACTGGGTCGATTTTGGCAATTAAATTTCAAATGGGTCGATTTTTCCAATTAAGTTTCTAAATAAGTTGGTTTTGAAAGTTTGTCCAAACCTTTATGCTTTCACTACAAAAAATTGATATATATTTCAAATCCTAAAACTAACACATGACATCCAGTTGTTTGATCCGTGTTTTTAATCACTTAGATCGAACTGTCCGAATTTATCGGCTAATGGTTATTTTTACGATATTTGGAACAACACGAAGGGTAGTGTCCATTATCGATTTATATAACATTTCCAAACATAGTTGATTAGAAAAATTAGAATAATCCAGATTCTTGTTTAGAACACATTAAATTGGCGATATTGACTTGTACGTGATGTCGCTTTGTGAAGGAAAAAAAATCCATTTTGATGCCACTTGTAAATGAGTTGAGCTATGTTTTCTGATAACAAGCGCTAGTTGTTGCGATTTCTTATTGTATACCATTATCTTGCATCAAACTTCAAAGTTTTGTACACACTAGCTAGTTATAATTAAAAAAATAAAATGCAATTGAAATGCATGCATCCACCTGTTACGCTTCCATCCAAGTTAACTTTACCTTGCAAGTCAGTGAATTGATGAATAGAGTTTTGGTCATAGATCGAAGTGCATAAAAGTTGCCAAAGCCTACCAACAACATCTTGCTATAGATCGAGACTTCACTTCTTAAATTATATAATAATCATTTATCATCTATATATTATTATTATTATTATTATTATTATTTAAATAACATGTTACATGGAACAAGGGGGGTTCAAGAAATAAAGAAATTTAGTATTTTTTTTAATAAAGTATCAATCGGTTTAAGATATACTACTTCTAACTTTTTAATTTCATCAATGGTTTGAAGTACGTAAACGGAGTTTCTATCTTACGGTTTATGTATTTCTTCTCAGCTGAGTCTAGACTCTGGAGTAATACCTAAGATGGTAATAATTATTTATTTATTGTGTTACAATATAGTTTGAATAAGTTTTCTTTTCCATAAAACAAGCCAAGCCCAAAATATCCAAAACCTATGTGTTATGGACTGGGTTTAAGTTCAGATGACTTTAACTCGGAGCCCGGCCCATCTATATACTATTACTAAAAACTCTTACCCTTGAAAACGCCACTTGGCAAAAATAACACATACCCTTGAAAACGTCACCCAGCAAAAATGACACATGGTAAAAATGACATATACCCATATTTGCCTTTCACCCACATCTCCTTTCACCCACCTCCTCACCCCTTTTTATTTCTTCACCTCTAATTATTTCACCCACCTCACGCTGGAAAAATTTCCCCTTTCGACTAATTCATAGCATGAAATTATTCTAATGTGATTTTAAGTTTTAGATAAATTTGTTAGCTCTATCTGAGCGTGTCCTGTAATATATATGTATGTAGTGATGCATGCTTGTGTGCATGTTTGACAAACTAAAATTTTATTTTTCAATTCATGTATCTTATTGAATTCAAGTGTATTTTTCTTTTATTTCTATATAATTATATTTTTCTGTTTCAGATCTGTTTGTTTCTTTGTTTATCTTTACTATTGGTAAGTGATGAACTCAATATAATCTTACTAGAATGTATTTCTCTTATATTATGTTTTGTTATTTTTCTCCAATGGCAATTCATTTCACTTTAATATTTTTGTTCTTTCTTATGTTTATATAGAGTATGTGAAAGTTACATTTTATTTAACTAATTGAGTACTTCTTATGTTTATTTTTATGGTTTGATGATGTTCTTAAATTGCAATCATATATAATTTTCTTACACTGACTTTATTTGATTTTGGTATTACATTGTCTCTTATTTTCGTCAAGTGGATGTCATACACCCCTTATATGATAGGTATTATATTTTCTTTGTTTTTCGACATTACACTTTTATTTTACCAAGTTTTTTGGAAAGTTATAACGGTTTAAATATTGATATGACTCACACAAAATGTTCAAATATTATTTTCCCATGTTCACATTTTTCCAAACCTTTCTTTTTTTTCATTTTTTAAGTTTACCCATTTTTGGTACTTTTTTGACATTTTACGTTAATTTTGAATTTTTTCTACCTTCTAAATAATAAAATAACTCCCACCATATTTCTGAATACCGTTTTTATACAATTATATTTTTCAAACTATATATGATCTTAAACTGATTCAAGTTTTTCAAACTTTCTAATTTTCCAAACTATATATGCAACTTAGACTGTATTATTTCTGACTACTTATATATTATTACTGTTTTACTTTGCATTCTTTTACTACATTAATTTTTATATATTAAACAAATCTGTGCATCGCAGGGGCCTTAAACTAGTTTATATAAAAAGTTGGACAGAACCAAGTCTTGCTTCCCGCTGTACGTTTCTCGTTGAGATCCACGTGACTTGCACGAGGAGCCATACAAGACTTCAAAAGAAATAGACAAGGAACACCTCTTCATAAAAGACCTATCTTGATTTTCATTCATGAACTATCTTAAAATTTTATCTCTCGTGAACTATTTTTACTTTAATTTACTATCATTTAGTCAATAGCTGATAACAAATATTTTGATGATCAAACGGTTTTTACTCAGAGAACCTTTGAATTTAGTTTGGGGCTGAATCATCGTGATTCTAGTATGAATCTGAGGTTTTAATTGACTCACAGGGTCTCAACAAGAGAATTCCTATCAATAGTAAAGCCAGAAAATTCAAAAACGAGGAAAATTTTCTCATAACATGGTTAATTAATAGCAAATAGAGCTCCCTAACAGTGTCTTGCACTTGTTATCTCTTGAGTTTGATATTGACAAATAAGAAGATATGTACTATCGCATTTCGCTTCTTCGTTCGTCGTTGTTAACTTCATTTCTTTAAGAACCTTCCTTCATCCAATAAAGAGCATGCACAGACACAATAACATCATTTAGTTCAATTACCTACAGTCTATCTGTCATTATCAAATATAGAAAAAAAATAAGTTACATAATGTGATCGATGGTGCAAAATGTCTGGATACAATTTTCTCAAATTATGAAGATAAAATAAAACATGTAGCCCTATTTAGGTAGCCAATGATTTTTTTTTACTGTAAAATGTTTTTAGCAACAAATTGAAAATATTTCATGATACTTTTATAAAAATCCATAGAAATGAAATTTTCAAAACTTGCTTTGAAAAAGACTAAAAATTATCATTAATAGTCACCAACCTAATAAACTAAACAACTATTACTACTTATTGATCATAATAACATAGTTAATGAAGCATTTTCATAATATTAATCTGTGGCCTTCTCAAAAAGCTACGTGTATTACAGGGATAAGGAATAAAGAGACCATAATGTAAAGTGTTTGCCAGAACAATCTAATGCTTTTTCCTCGTTGTCATTTTTTTTTCTCTCAAATAATAACCAAAAATTTAAACCCCCCAAAAAAAGAACCCATAAAAAAAATTCACCCTTTTCTCGTCTCTTCCTCCTTCCTTTCTTCTCTCCAACTCCTTCCTTCTCTTCACGAAATCACATCTAATAATAAAATTAAAAAAAAACCCATAAAGTCTCAAAAGCTTGCTTTGTTATTGTGCTGTAGTTTGTTTGAGATCATGGGATTCTTCATGGGTCTCTTTCTTGGGGTTGCATGTGGGTTGGGTCTTATGATGGCCTTCATCCGCAAAGAGAATGCTCGATCCAAGCAGCGCCGTTATTTGGTATGTTTTCTTTTCTTCCTATTTTCTTGATGACCCATTTGTGAAATTGTTTGTTGGATGAATAAAAATTGCATATTTTGGTTAGATTGAAGTAATTGATGGTGTTTTTGTTTGGGTTTCAAATTTTCATTTTGATATATATATATATATATAACACAATCAATTTACTTGATCCACTCCGTTCATTTTGATCTATTTTATTCGGATGACATGTAAATAAAAAATTAGGCATATTGAGTTGTATTTATTAATGGATCAAGTGATAGTAAAATTAACGGTTTTATGACATATGTATATATATATAGAGAGAGCAATATGGAGGAACTTGGTACCAAACTAAGTTTTTGTGCTTGGTAGTGAGGTGACATATTCTTCTCCACTCATTCAAATGGGGGACCACATTCACATGGGTTGGGGAGTGGATGGGAATGTGACATCTCACTATCATGCATAAAATTTGTGCTTGGTACCAAGTTTCTACATTTTTCTCATATATATATATATATATATATAGTGATTGATTCAATGAAAGTATCTACCAGAGCAAAGAAATCATATCTCATGCTAAGGTTTATAATTACATTGTGGTGTAGGTTGTGGCTATTGAGTAAAAAAATAAAAATAAAAAAAATAATATATAAACGTGTGTGTGTGTGTGTGTATCTTAGTTCTGTAAATGTCAACAATAGACAGTGGGATATGGCTGTCCTGTTTCATTACGAATGAAACTTCATAGATTCTAAAATTCATGATGTTTGTTTGGGGAAGGTTTATAGTTATACAACCGAAACATTTTGAATAAAATATGTTTTCTTGTGTCACTGTGACTTAGAAGTGCACTCACAACTAAAGTTGTAACTGATCTTCAATATAATAGAAAAATGTAATACCCCAAAGCAAACACCTATAACTATAACTACAACTGCACAATTTTGCAAATTGAACCAAGTAACTGCCACTACAAATCCATATGAACAACTGCTGTCTCATGCAACTGCCGCTTGCTTGTAATTAGAGTTGCTGTGAATTCCTATCCGTCGCCTTTCATATGGCAACTATGATTGTCAATGCTCATACACAATGGAGCATAAAGAATTATACAGTTTTTAGGTTGCTTAAAAAACAACAGACGAAATAAAAAAAAAGTTTACATCTATCTGGTTCCCAAATTAGTAGTCATGAATCTACATCACGAACATCCCTGCCAAGCCTCGTCCTGGAGGTCCTCAATGTGGATAATATACTCTACCTCGTTTCCCAATTTAACTTTTGTATTCTCATTTCCCCCCTAGACTAATGATATTCAGATGTGAAGCATGGTTTTAAATATCGGCCGATAATCCCATATTATCGCCGAGTTATCAGATTTGGGAGCTTTCCGCTAGGATAAGTAGGAATTTTAATCGGTTATCGTTTTTTGGGGTTTATCGGCGAGTTATCGGCGATAAAGGTACTTATTGGCCGATAAGGGAGGCTCTAAATATCGTCTTTATCGGGCCAAATTTTGAGTTCAATTTTCGGGTAATGGGCAGTTATTTAGTGAGTTATTAAACCCAACCCGACTTGCTTTCTACAATTGGTTAGTGATTCTAAACATGATTATTTATACTTTGGGATGTTTATATTTCATTGCGTATGGTTAGATTACATTTTTTGGTTATTATATTATATATACACCATCTAGTATATCACTCCAATAAATACTACTTATCCCCGATATATCCCCGATTTCCGCTATCCGATAAGGATTTTGACCGTCCGATAAATCCCCGATAACCGATATTTAAAACCTTGATGTGAAGAATGCCAGTACATCTGGACGCTTGGAGAATGCTTTCTTAATTTGCTATTAATTTACCGAATGCTTTGGTCCTTGAGATTTTAACATGCATTTTTCCTTTCTCTAGGCAGCTACAGTGGCAGCTTTTGCAAGGATGACAGTTGCAGATTCAAAAAAAATACTTCCACCTCAGTACTACCCTCCATGGGTTGTTTTTTCCCAGCGCCAGAAGTTGAGTAATTTTGCAGATGAACTTATTTTTTTGAACCATGACATGATTCTTTTCACTCTCCATTGATCTTTTTCCCTATTGGTTTACTTTAATGATATTTTTTGTCACTCTATTCATTGAATTCTATTGCACTTGCAGCTGAAGTGGCTTAACCATGAACTCACAAAAATCTGGCCTTATGTCAATGAGGTGAACTTTCATTGCGATTTATAATCTGAACAATAGGGCCTAGTTATACGTATTCAACATTAATATCTGCATGTGATTGTATTGAATGATCTAATTCTCTTGCCGTTTCACTGCTACAGGCAGCATCTGAGCTCATAAGAACTTCAGTGGAGCCAATCCTTGAACAATATAGAATGCCTATGTTAGCTTCTCTCAACTTCTCCAAGCTAACTCTTGGTACTGTCGCACCACAATTTACAGGTACGGTTTTGTAATATTTGAAAAAAGATGAGCTTTATGATGATGTGTTCTATTATCACAGTTCCACTCCCAAGTATCACAAGTTAGCTCATGAATTTTCTTGACAAAAAAGCTCATATGATATAATTACATTCTTCAGGGGTAGCTATTATTGATGATGATGATGATAGTTCTGGTATAACCATGGAATTGGAGCTGCAATGGGATGGGAATCCAAATATTGTCCTTTCTGTTGAAACCATGCTTGGCGTTGTACTTCCTATACAGGTAATGTAGACTACTTATATTATATACATGCATGTTTAGAGTCTCATGCATACTTATGGCTATCACAACGCAACTTGCGTTATTGGTGAATCTCAATGAAGATCATTTCTGTTTAATATCTCCTACATTTTAATGGCTGATGGAAATTTTTAGAAAAAAACTAATTGTAGCATAAGTCAAGTCGGGTTTATGGTAGGCTGTAACAAGATTATACTTATATATTTCTCATGACAAATTTGTTTTATCTAATTTTTCTAATTGCTTTGATGAACTATTTCGTAATTTTCGCATTACCACTGAATATATACTTAAATACTTACCAGTTGTGTTCTCAGTTACATGTTTCTAATTCAGGTCAAGAACGTCGGCCTCACTGGAGTTTTCCGTTTAATCTTTAAGCCGTTGGTGGAAGAGTTTCCCTGCTTTGGAGCTATTTCTTATTCTTTAAGAGAGAAGGTGAAATAGTATTACTTTTCTGATAACTTGCCTTATAACTAGGTGTGGCATTAAAGGTTAACATCATCTTTCTCTCCTAAGTGTAGAAAAACCTAGATTTTACGCTGAAGGTTATTGGTGGTGAACTATCATCTCTTCCTGGTATTGCTGATGCTATTGAGGTTCTAAGTGCTCTGCTCTGTATCTGATTTTATGTTTTCCTGTGTTTATGCAATATATGGCAAACTACAAGAAACGCCCTTAATCTATATGCTATTTTTAAATAAACCCCCACATCTAAAAAGTTCAACAAGAAAACCCTTCATCTATGATAATTAAAGAAATGGTTAGTTTTGCAATGGAGTTTGGTTCTTTAAACATTTGGTTATACGTCAACATTAAGAATTTTAGTTTAATAATACAAAAAAAGAAAGAGAGTACTTTATATCAAAAGAAGTAACATTTCAATATTTCTTTCCTTTTAACTCCCAAAATCATAACTGCGGACAATAACGTTTACTCAAGTACAAAGGTCTGGATGTTTGAAGAATAAAATCCCGTTAAGAAATTATTCATTAACCATCATAGATGAGGGGTTTTATAAACTTTTTAGATGAAGATTTTTATTGAAGAACAAGGTATAGATAAAGAGGGTTTCTTGTAATTCTCCCTTGAATGAAATTATGCAGAGCAATCTCCTTGATATTAAATATTTCTTCAGGATACTATACACAATGCTATTGAAGATTCCATTACCTGGCCTGTACGGAAAATTGTTCCCATTTTACCTGGTGATTATAGGTATGATAATGCTACCTGTGCACCTTTTATTGTATTATGCATGTTTGGTTTTTTTCCAAAGTGTGAATAATTGTAGTCCTCTTGTGTAGTGACCTAGAGTTGAAACCTGTTGGAGTTTTGGAAGTAAAGCTTGTTCAAGCTAAAGGTTTAGTAAACAAGGATCTTGTAGGAAAATCCGATCCATTTGCTGTTGTCTATATACGTCCACTACCTGATAGGATGAAGACTGGCAAAACAATTGTAAGTGTGCATGTTAATCTTTGTTTCTTTTCTAAGATATTCTTATCATATTATTCCTAAATAACTTGGATTACTTACAGAACAATGAATTGAATCCTATTTGGAATGAACACTTTGAGTTCATAGTTGAAGATGTGTCAACCCAACGTTTGATCGTCAAGGTTTATGATGATGAAGGGGTACAAGCATCTGAACTTATTGGTATGGCTCAATTTAAGTTGCAAGAACTTCAGCCTGGGAAAGTGAAGGTTGTTTGGCTGAAGCTTGTTAAAGATTTAGAAATTCAGAGAGACAGGAAAGACAGGGGCCAGGTAAGCTCAAGAATCATGATGGTCGTCTTATTTCTAGTTCTGTTTGACGTATTAGGGGTTTCATAACAAATATTTGATGGACATGCATGCTAAAAGGACATTTCTTCTGCAAATGTACATGTCCTAAAAACATAAAACTATATCGAAAGGTGGATAACCATTTTGGGCTGGCCATGTTAAATTATTAAAATGAAGTTTTGAAGAGTATTTGTATTTACTTAGGTAGCATGTTTTATGTAGTTTTCTTTTGTGAGAGATGTAGTGAGAAAATTATGTATGAGAGCATTTTGGTATTTTTCGGGAGCTTGCACATGATGTTTCATCTCTATTACCCGCTCCCATTCTCACCTTCCGTGTTCTTCCCCAAGTTTTACCATATTTTGTTTGATGCATTTCTTTTTACCTCACCAGGTACATCTAGAGCTTCTGTACTGCCCTTTTGGCATGGAAAATGAATTTACTAATCCTTTCATCAATAAAAAGCTTTCTCTTACGACTTTGGAAAAAACTATGAAGAGTGAGATTGATGGTGCTGAGACTGCTGAGATCGAAAAGACATTAACTCATAGAAAAAAAGAGGTCATTGTAAGAGGAGTGCTTTCCGTGACAATTATAGCTGCCGAGGAATTGCCTGTGATGGATGTTATGGGAAAGGCAGACCCTTTTGTTGTGATCACTATGAAAAAATCGGGAACAAAGAACAAAACAAGGGTAAGGTCTTGGAATTCATATGTAATTCTTATACCTAATATAACTTTGCAGGTTTTTTTATTCCCATCTTCAGGTTTTACATGATACCTTGCATCCAGTATGGAATCAGACTTTCGACATAGTGGTGGAAGATGGGCTACATGATCTGCTTATTTTGGAAGTCTGGGACCATGACACTTTTGGAAAGGTGGGTATTTCTTGAAGCTTTTAATCTTGATAACGTGAAAATTCATGTTTCATATTGTGATAGGTTAATTGCGGATAGACCCCTTGAAGTATCATTGTTCACTTGCCCTCTAGTTGTATTTTTGTGGATGCCATGCGTGAAGTTTTTTGGACTTTTTTACCCACAAGTGGGTCAATTAGTCAAAAATCACTTTCTTGGATGGTAAAACAGTCAAAAAAATCCACTCGTGGGGCCTTTTGCAAAAATAAAACTAGAGGGGTAGTAAGTTCAGAACAACGATACTAGGGTGGTGGGGGGGGGGGGTATCTGCAGTTAATCCTGCTGCACACTGGCTGTTGGATTGGCTTGAAAATCAAGGTAAAATAACATTCATCGCGGCTACGGATGTTATTGGGAAAAAGGATTTTGTTCCCACTTATCATATGTTCGTGATTCTATTTTTTCAGAATTTTATCGGACGATGCATCATGACCTTAACCAGGGTAATTCTGGAGGGTGAGGTCAAAGAAAGCTTTCCATTAGACGGAGCTAAATCAGGAAAACTGTTTGTGAATCTCAAATGGACAGCACAGCCAATTTTCCGAGACCCATAAAAGTTGGTTACAAAAAGTTCATGATTTACTTTTTCTACTGGACTCGTCATATAATGTTGTACATTTTCGAGCCATAAAGAAGATTTCGAGCTACAAACAGGAGAAAAGTCTATCGGCAATCAATATGCTGTGGATACTGACCAAGTCGGCGAATGTGATGACAAGTTTGATACTTTGAGAGTCATTTTATTTTTCATTGATTTGTTATGTGGTCTTTTTTACCATATTTTCTAGTTCATTCTTTGATTTGTTGGTACTTGTCTTTGATCACAAATGTAAATGGCACAGATAGATTTTAGTTCTATATAATGCGAGAGGGCAGTGTGTATTATTTGTATATATTATCGTTTGCATGAAATATATTCGTTGATCATTGGCCTTTCCCTAGCACCCTCCTTGTGATAATCAACTAAATCATACATCATACAACACTAAAAGGAGCAAGAATATGGTTAAATCATTGAACTCTTTTACAAATATAATGAAAAATCTGTGAAGCTAAAAATTAAAAAAAAAAAGCAGAATTCAGTAACAAACTTCAAAGAATACTCACCCTGTAAAATGCTTTTGCATGATTTATATTATTAATTTAGCACTAGAACAATATCAAATATCATTAACTTTATTACATGCTATATAACTGTTCTCGCTCAGCATTCAACAATGTAAAGACTGCTCAATAAGTTGCAGGTAATCTGTCGAGAGCTTGAGATTGGCGGTATTTCTTCAGTCTCCTCCTCCAGTATTGCTATTCCTGTATTTTTATTTACCCATCATTAACACATGGATCTACTAATGATATGTCCATAGTTCCATTATACTAATGGACATAACTTACCAAAGTCTAAAATACTAGGCCAAAATGGCTCAAAATCCTTGTAAGCATAGAAGCTAAAAGATTTCTATTTGACTCACCAGTACTGATTGTGGAAAATAACATGATCAACAGGAACATGCTTTCCATCATCATTTCGATTCCAGCGGTAAAATGCATGGGTCCTATTTTTCAGTTCCAATGTTGAATGGCCATATAGCTTGCCTCCCTAAACGCAGAGTAATCCGGTTGAGTCTCAGAAAACCTACATGTTAAAAATAAAATTGTTAAATGCCTGAAATTATTTTCTCGCAGACTAAGCGTGACTATAATATTTAAGTTTACCTTCCAGCTAAACCTTCTGAATTTCCTCCATTACCAACGTTTCCATATTCTGGAGCTGATTTATCAGGCACTGGATAGTTGATGCCAGAAGTGATGTTGTACTTTATGTTGGAGATTCTGTGCTGTAATGAATAAGGGGAAAAGAAAAACTTTTAATGAAGTTCGGTTACTCTTACAATTTTACCCCAGTTTACTATAGAGCGGTTTTCTGATAAGGTTATGTAAAACAGTAGAATGGGTACTTTAGAATTTTTGCTCTACTCATAACGTTGTTAGTGAAGAGTTGAAGTAGCTTGGGGTGGTTTAGTATAATGTCGAAAGTTCGTGGGGGTGTTCTATGATTCATAAGCGTCAGGGTGTTTTGTGAAATTTACCCCTGCACTATTCATTGAAGAAATATAACTTATAAGAAAATGCAATACGTTATGAACAAAGTTGGTTTTGAGAAAATACCAATCTTTCATAGGCATGAACATGTTCGGCAAAGACGATATCGACTTTGTAACGAACAAACCAACTTTCAAAAGCAGCCCTCATACTTTCACCCTCCATATAATGAGCTTCATTGCTGTTGTATAATGGAGATGCATTAGAACTATTAGCCAAGGTGTTTTCTTCCTGTCAACTCGTTCCAGCTCATTTTGTAGCCAAGTCCATTGGGGAGTGTATTTAACTGTTTTACAGTGCATCAATTTTAGTGCATAAATAAGAAGAGTATATTGCAGAGAACCCCCCTCATCTATACATCTAATGGCATTTTCTCTCCCTTGAACTTTCTTATTAAAACTAATCACCCCCTAAATTCATGAGCCAAAGGGGTTATCTGCAATTTTTAACCCTAAAAATACCAATCGAGAGGTTACTGAAGGTATAGTTGAGGGGTTTATCTGCAACCTTTTTTTTTTTGAGAAAAGGTTTATCTGCAATTTACCCAAAAAAAGGATGCTACGAAGCAGTAAAAGTTTTGAATGAAATCGTTCTTTGATGTTAAACATGTAAAGCTACCTACAATTGATCAGAGATTTTTTTTTTTACATTTTTGCGAGAGAGGAATTTTTCTTTCTTTCCCCATTTTTTTCTTTTCTTTTTTGTTTGGTCCTGGGGTAAAACTAGAAGTTTAATCTGCCTAAGCTTAGTTCCAGAAATAAAAGGGGGGCAAATCCAAAGAAACAAATGAGAGAACATGAATACCTGGTTTGCAGAAACATGAACAAATAGAATCACAAAGCACTAATCTCTCTCACCTTTTCTTATATAAGCAAGTAAACATCATCTAATTTATGTTAGCTGCTTACTGGCAAGTAAACATAACCCATATCTTGTTTAAACTTGGTTCAGATTGTGTGTTTCGAGAGTACTACAGCAGCAATACCAAGAGATCCGTAAAAACAAACGAATGAATTGCATATTACCAAATGGAGAATAGCTAGAAAGCATGATGATATGCGCAGATGCACGCCTGATTGCATACCAAAGGGGAGAGCTGCTCTGTGAAGCTTCATGAGGGGTTGCATATATATGTGAAAAAGCTTTAAAAGTAGAAACTTCTCCCTGTAAACAAGAACAAAAGTTTAAAAAAAAAAAACTAAGCCCCATCAACATCAAATAATATGAGATATATGGATCATGTGCATGTTACTGAGTATGTATGAATTTCTAGGGTAGTTTCGTTGATGTAAGCCTATACATTTGCATTAAATTTAGTAACCATCAGCTGCATGATGTGTCACAGCTTTTTAAAGAAAATATTTTCGGCACAAGTATATAAAAATCCAGCAGTTTGTTCGTCTCATTATGTACAAAAGAGAAAGATGCAAGCAATTTGTTCATGATAGGATCTGGCATGCATATATTTGTTTCGTTACTACATAAATGCCATCGAAAGAAAAAAAAAAAACCAGATCAGGTCTATATTCAATGTCATGGTTTCCAGCAGCCCAAAACCACGGCTGATATGCAGCACTTCGCTCAATAAGGCGGCCCCATGAATCCCAGCGAGTACCATTATCACATTCATATCGATCAGCATGAGAGGTCCCTAACATAGAGGACAGCTTGTCCTCCACTTTGCATATAATGCTCAAGAGTAGAAAGCGAATTATTTGTTTGCCCCAAGTCACCTGGCAGTCAAATAATTCAAATAAACCCACTATTCTTATGAATAACGAGTGCACAAAATAATTAAAACTAACCTATGATACCAAAAGTATAAGGAGCATCAGGATCAATTTTTCGGAACCAAAATTCGCGAGCAGAATCCCCAGCTGCGATCTTATAGTAGTACTTTGTATCATGCTAACATTGTTTCAGTAAATGTTAGCTATAATGCACCTCAAGTATCTGAATAAGTAAATAGTGTTACCTCAAGACCATCAATAAGACAATGATGAATGTATCCAGATTTGTAATCATAGAAGGTATAGTTGGTAGTTTTCCCTTGAGCATTATGATCATATTTATTCTGAGATTCTCCATACGACACTTCATTTGTTCCAGGGTTTGTAAATGTCACCCATGAGAGTATTACAGCTTTTCCATTGTAGTCACCTTGAGTAATATGCAACTAAACAACATCTAAACCAGTCAATATGAAGATCATTATCATATACAAATCAGTGTTTATGCAGGCTAACCTGTTGAGGGGCATTTTGGTCTTTTGGAACCGCAAACTCTTTGCTATCGATAGGGATGTCAACAGCTGGAAACTCAGAACGTACATAAGAACTCGTAACCCCAGAGGACACTATGTCTGTTGAGCACAGAAGAGTAACAAACAAGAACAGTAGACATAAATTGCAATGAAGCCCGACAACTTAGGACATTTTGGATCCCCGTCAAGTTCGAAACACCAACAACTCATATTAGGGATCAGAGAAATAAGCCGAAAATTAGTAATCACCATTAGGGGTGGTAAACAAACGAATCGAGTTATCTAATTCGAACTCGAAGATGAACATCCATGTCTAGATTTTTTTCGAATTCAGACTCGAATACTTGATATTTCATAAATATTCATGAATATTTACAAATATTTTTATCGAATGTCAAAGTATATTCATTCCTCTAAAGAATTTAATTTTCAAATAGTATTTAAATTCATAAATGAAAATTGTTTCTTTATAGTTATGATGTATATATATTTAATTCAAAATTTTCATTAGAAAACTGATTTAAGATTCTTTAAGGCTCTCAAAATTAGTATACAGAACTTAAATAGAAAATATAAGTGGTTTGAAGATATTACATTATACGCATAATACAAGTTATAAGCGATCAAATTTTAAATGAATATTTGATAAGCAAACGAATCGAATATATACCCGATTAAATTCTATTCATTAATGAACTCGAATACTAAATATTATTTGTTTAATGTTAAATGAACTACCAAATTAAATATGAGCGAATAGTTAGTCAAACAATTAACAAACTATTTGTTAACTATTTGGTTCATTTTTACCCCTAAGATTTGTTGGATTTTTTGGTCAAAACCGCTTTTCAAAATGAGTTTCCAAACTATATATATTAACTACAAGTACTTTTCATAAATGCTTAGTAACCTAGTGGAAAGTTAATGTTTTGGTGTTTCAAAAGATCCCTTTGTTCGAGGCTTGTCAACGGCAAGCCGAGAAGTATTATATTTTAATTAATCCCTCATAAGTTCTAGTGGGTCGTGGGTCGTTGGCCGTGGATCGTGGGCTAATGGGCCGAGGATCGGGGCTAATCGGGCTGAGGCGCTAAGTGACGCTTTGTTAGGCGTAATTTGCACTTCGCAATGAGGCATCGGGCTAGGTGGCGCCCTTTGGCGTCACGTTGGCTGCCACTATGGTTGCGTTGCATGCTGTTTCCGGATGAGCTACGCATTCGCACGAGGGTGTGAGCCTGGCGTTCTCGAGGTTCGTCTGTTTGACGATGTTCGATCATTCGACGAGGTTCGTCTGTCATACGAGGTTCGCCTGTTTGACGAGGTTCGCTCGTTCGACGAGGTTCGCCTGTTTGACGAGGTTCGCTCATTCGACGAAGTTCGTTTATCATACGAGGTTAGCCTGTTTGACGAGGTATGCTTGTTCGATGAGGTTCGTCTGTTTGACGAGATTCGCTCGTTCGACGAGGTTCGTCTGTCATACGAGATTCGTCTGTCATACGAGGTTCGCCTGTTTGACGAGGTTTGCTCGTTCGACAATGTTCGTCTGTCATACGAGGTTCGTCTGTCATACGAAGTTCGCCTGTTTGACGAGGTTCGCTCGTTTGACGAGGTTTGTCTGTCATACGAGATTCGCCTGTTCGACGATGTTCGTCTGATTTGCTAAGACGTGACCCTCGCGTTTCGTAGCAATGCGTCCATTGATTGCCTCATATTTAGGAGTTATTGCATGTAGCAGTTACAACAGCATTTAGAGCAATTTAATGCATTAATGTTACAATCTTAATTGTCATTGAGAATTGTAACAGTCACATTAATTACGAGTGACTCTTGAGCTGGTTTTAGAGGTCTATAAATAGCGTCCTTGGGCAGCTCATGGATATACACACGCGAGCTTAGAAAACGAACGTCAGATCAAGGAGATCTTGGCGTTGTTAATGTTGTTGTGCTGCAGCTGCAGAAACTATGCCCCCATGAACTTGTCCTAAAACCGAAGGATTTTGAACCGAAAGGTTCTGAGATCGATGAGATTTTTACCTTGACCGGAAGGTCTTTTAGATCGAGGAGATCTTAACAGTACTGGGTTGGTGCACACCAGAGTACTGTATTGTTATTCCTGAAAGCAGTTTGATCTTGAGATCATTGCACCGGAGTAGACCAAATATTGCTTTAAGCATAGCGTTTCACAAACACACAGCGGTTAAATTAAAAAAGTTTAAAATTACAGCATATCATCTTTCACTGTTTAATTCTAGATTTAAGCATAATTTCCAACAAGATTCACCATAACCCGCATATAATATCTGTAGAATATAATATGCTGCTAATCTGAAATTTTTGCTAATAATTATGAAATAGATAATGGATAGAGAGAAGGGTGCGAGCTAGACTTTACGATAGGATTAGTCATAAATCCCCGGTAAATTCACTAGTTAAAGTTCTTGTCATTTAGAATTATCAAGACATGGAAGTGACCCAAATGTAAACAACAATTTCAAACACAAAATCCAGAGTCCAAATGAATATTTGATTTTATAGAATGATCCTCTTGTGAAAATATGGTGCATGCAACCGTTTTTTACAAATTACAACTAGGATAGGAGTTTCCTATCTTTTTTACATTTGAGATTCTAGTAATAGTGATACTTTCTAGTAATAGTAGATACTTTTATGGTAATTACACTAAATCCCCACGAACATTCAGGCTTTTG